CACCAGATCCTGGTCCTCTAGTCCCTAAAAAACGTCCTTCTCCAAATCTAGCCCTTTCCTACCTCACAGCAAAACCCTGGCCTCTATTTCCACTATGTGGCTTCCAAGACCATCCTATTCCATCTCAATGATCAGTCTCCTAGGCCTCTCTGTGGTCATGTCTTTGGAATGATTTCCATTCCGCACTAGTAAATTGTTCATCTCTTCCCAGTCTTCAAAGTTCACCTCCTCCCATTTTGCTTCCCACCCACAGACCTAGCTGTAGCTATGCTGTTTTGTCTCTTATCACATTCCCTGGGTGCAGCACAGACTGCCCCAACCTGCAGATAATTGAACGAATGTGCAAATCAGACACAGATCCATTGCATTGATTAACATTTCCAATTAAACTCTGGGTTTGGCTTAGTGAATCAAGTAATCACTGCACATGAAAATGCAAATGCCTTCCAAAGTCGCAGAGCAAGATAGGAAGGTACATGTTTCTGGGGAGAAATGGAAACAGAATGCCAGACCTGGGGGTTCACTTCGTTCTTTCGTACCCCTGTATCAGATTTTACATGTCTGGCTGTTAACTTGATTTAAGGCTCAGGCTTCACACCTGAAATGGAGGACTCTGGCCCTGTGCACCACTGTATGCCCGTTCTCGCCCCTGGTAGAGAGGCCCAGTAGTGATGAGTTGTCAGTCAAGTCCACCTTAGGCCCTGCAGAAGAAACCACCTGCCTCTGCAGGTGGAGAGCTGGGGGGGAAACAGGACAGCTGAAGTTTAAGCTGCACCCCAGATGCCTCAATAGCTGCACTTACCTTCTAGGATAGTTGTTTTCACCATTCCTCAGCCTGCACAGGGTTCCATGGGCCCCTGCCTGGGAATGAGGGCTTAATTTTTTTTTTCTTTTGAGCTCAGGCAGATATCCTTACGTTTGGAGCAAGGGCCTCAGACCTGGCCCTGGCCAACCCCATGTAAAAGCAGTCAACCTACCTGTCTCAGACAGATTCGAAGCTCCCCCAGTCCCCTTTGGGGTCCCAGCCCCCCACTCCCTTCTTACCCAGGAGAAAAGAGCTGATTGTTGAGGCTGCCACTCATGGAATTTCTTCTCCTTTCCTTGACCAAAAGCTACTGGCTCTCGAAGGTGGTTACAAGGGCAGGAATCCTACTGATTGCCTAAATATCAATAAATCATCTCCTTATGTCTGGGCTGAGCCATAGGTGCCTCAATCACCAAATTCCCCCATCTCACCAGGGAAATCAGGGCCTTTGGGATCTTGGTAAGACAATGTTTTTTTGTCTTCCATCATTTTGTTCCTACTTACTCCATCTGATCTTACCTACCTACTATGATTTCTAGATCTGAGTTATTTCCTCTCATGGCTACTCTCTTCAGCCTTATATTAGCTTAGTCTTCGACCTCATAATAGTAGAGTCTCTGATGAGGCAGCAAC